ATGGTATTAAATCACGTGCATTGCACGTGTGTAAAAACTAGTATATATATATATATATATATATATAAGAAAAATGGGTATGCTTTGGTACCAAACACAAAAATTTATGTTTGTTAGTGAGATGACATAATCCCCTCATTTATGCTTGGTACCAAGCATACCAAATTTTCTCATATATATATCAGTGCCTTTCTCCTGCGGATCAGTTCGTACGGATTGAGCGTAAATGAGTGGTTTTTGGGTTTTTTCGCAAAATGTTTCCGCTGACGGAAACGAATCTCGTGACCAGCTCACGGGGGCTCTTTTGCAAAATGGTTGATGATTTTAATTCCCTCTCGTGACCCATTCGTTCTCTCTCTCTCTCCCAAAAAATCCCAAATCCTCCTACAGATCCCATCGGACCTCCCCTCCAACGCCGACGATCTCTCAAATCACCGACGACCGTCGTCAAGTTGGAGACCACCGACAACGAAGAAGTCCATCCCCGCCGACCGTGACCCACTATCCCCGCCGTCGAGCCACGAATCCGACGTCTGAGACCACCGACGACGACGAAGTCCATCCCCACCGACCGTGACCCACTATCCCCGCCGTCGAGCCACGAATCCGACGTCTGAGACCACCGACGACGACGAAGTCCATCCCCACCGACCGTGACCCACTATCCCCAACTCCCTCGAGCTCGATCTCGACCTCACCCAACTCAGGTAACCACGACGTCCCCGACTTATTAATTGTACTTCAGAAGTCATCTTTTTCTAGTTTATCAACTAATATTATCTGTTCTGCATTTCCCCTTTCTCCATAGCATCCTAAAATCAAAATGGTTTTATTTCTTTTCAAATTATAATTCTGTTCGTGATTGTTGAAACGTTTTGCAGTGTATATAACCACATATGCCTTTGGTTTTTTATATGAACAGTTAGTCTATATCTGTTCGTGAAATTAAAAATAATTTGAATCCCCTTTATCAGCAAGTAGTAATTACAGATATCTCGTACTCTAATTATAGTTGTATGTCTGTGTTAAATGTGGGCTAGCTGTTGTTCTTGCTTGTGGGCTAGCAAGAGTAAAGTTGGGCTGATGTACCCTTTGATATGGTATGCCCCATTAACAACACATCAGCCAAGAGCATATGGAGACACACCATCTTATGTTTAATCATAAATATATGCATATTCGTATATGTATTTATATATGTATATACATTAAATGCACATATTTACATTTCCTGATACTAAAAATGTAATATATACCTCTAGACATGCACATATATCCGCCAGGATCTTCATCCCTATTCGTTTCGATATTAGAAAACATAGGAAGTATGACTCCTCCATTTACTTCTCTATTTCAGATACCAGGACAGTACGCAGGCCAAGGAGACGACAACTATGCAACAGGTGAAGCCTACATTGCCACCGGTGCCGCCTTTGTCATCTTCCTCATCTCTGACTCCTTCGCCCTCTTCATCTCTCTTGCCGTAGTCATGGTCCAAACATCTCTAGTCGTTATCGATCCAAAAGCACTAAAGCTAATGGTCTTCGTCGTTAACAAGCTTATGTGGGCGTGTTGCATCTCAATATCCATATCTTTCGTGTCACTCTCATATGTAGTTATCGGACAGGATAACTGGTGGTTGACATGGTCAACTGTCGTGGTCGCCGCATTGATACTTCTTGGGACTCTCGGGATCATGCTGTACTGTGTCGTTAAGTATCGGGTACAGAGGAAGAGGATCAAGAGGAGCATAAAGAAGGCTGTGTCTGGGATTGGGGAGTCCTTTGGTAGATGTAGGTCGTTGGTGACGGAGACGCTGCTTAAAATTGAATGCAAGAAGAAGGTTTATGCGATTTGAGAATGGTTTTGGTTCATTCCTAATGTTTTTAGGCGATATTTTTGTTACCTTTCCCTGTATTGTTTGATTAATTGATTGTATTTACTCTTTGTTTTACTAAAATATCAATTGGGTTTATAACAGGGCTTAAGTAGAGATACTTGTTCTATGATGCTTATCATACTTGCAGCGTGTTACAATCTAATTTTTAGAACTATTGAAGTTATTAACATGTCGAAGGCTGCTACAGATTCTGAATATTTCATGATGGGCGGCTATATATGTGCCGTATCATATATCCCAAAAACACAATAAAACATAAAAAAGATATCTCCCATTGGTGTAGATCTTAAGGTTTGGATTCGAGCATGAGAGTATACAGTAAATCAAGTTCATTACATTAATTAACGATGCATTAAAAGAATATCAACCATTTAATAAATAAACTTAAAGATTTTTATATGGATCAAATGATTGATATTTCTCCAATTTTTCATTAACATAATGAGAGACGTAATATGTTCCCTGTGTTCAACAAACAAACTTAATCAATAAAATTTAGGTTTGTTTTCCTCTCGCGAGTCTTGAAGAATGAACACGTGGACCCAGAAAGACTGAACGAGAACAAGGAAATAAATTAACAAAAAATGTGTCGACGTGCAACATTGGATAAACAGGAGGACACCACGTGTAACATTTTAAAACTTTAGGGTATTTATCTATAACAATTAAATACTTTAGGGTATTTAAGCGCACGGTTATATAATAAGATGCATTAAAGTGCAAGGTTGATGAAACTATAGCATTTAAGTGCAATTTAGCCTTAAAAAAGGAAAAATGGGTTAAATGTGGGTTAAAAAAAACCTCACATAAAAGGGGAACAAAAATAGGAGAAACAGAAGCTGACCAAAATACAATAAGCAAACCATTTTTATATTTTTTTTATCTATACAGTATGCGGGAAAACGGGGAAGGTGGTGGGATGTAGTTGTTGCGGATCGGGTTTAATTTAAAAAAAATAAATCTCAAACCACTTTTAAATAGCGATCAAAAAATGGATTTTGCCCACAATCGCCCACCATTCGCTGCTGTGGTGAGTTGATGGTCGCTTTTGTAAGCGAAAAACGCATATTCCGTAATATGTCACCGCTATTAGGCGATAGCGTAGCGGGAATGGACCGCTAACGCTATTAGCGTCGCTATTGCAGGGCTATTTACCGCTATTTATAACAGTGATAATTAGATCCTTTTTCGCCGATGAGAGTGTTGAATGTCTCTAGCAAAGAGAAGATATAGCTAATAAAGTAGTCGAAAGACTACTTTTTTTAATCACAATTGTGAATGTAGTATCCCTTCACAAATAATAAATTTCACTTCTCTTGAGATAAGTTAATATATGCAAATCACAAAGTTTGGGGGTGTTGTGCAAAAGTTTTTCATTCCCTAATCTTCCTGTCGCCGCATCAGAGAATCGGTGGCCTCTTGCCATTTGAGCGAGGGTTGGCACCGACTTGACATGGGTATAAAAAATAGGAAAAAAAAAAGAAAAAAAGAAGAAAAAAAAATCTAAAACCGTATCCTTGCACACTCCTCTCAAGCTCCGATTCTCATCCAACTTGAACTCATGCTACTATAGTAAACAGTAAGGCGTAATTGAGAAGAAAATAGGGAAGAGAGGGGAGAAGGAGAGTAGTTAATCAAACAACTCATAGCAAGGTACGATCTTCTCTCATATTTTACTTGGTTGAATTCATGTAATAGAGTAAGGGTAAGCTATCTTGGGCAATCAAAGGGAAATTAAAATAAATTGAGGAAAAAATAATAATAAGAGAATGTGTACCTAGCTGTCGGCGAGTGTTGTCGTCAACCCCAACCATCGGCGAGCCTCGGCCTCGGGAGCCGCTGCTTCGACGCGAAACCTAGGCGCGGCCGCGCCGAAACTGGCCGCAGAAGAGCAGAAGGAGATAGAGAGAGAGAGAGAGAATCGAAAAAAAATAAAATGAAAATGAGGAGGAAACGGGAAGAAGAAGGGATAGATGAGAGAGAAAGAGGGAAAATTTAATTAAATAACCAAATTGTTTGGGACCCTTGAAAGATTATTAGTTTGTATATGGGTCCAAAAGATAAAGAGGAATGAAAATATTTATGAGGATCCTATTGTTTAGTAAACTGCAACCAGACCCACAAAATTCTAACTTTGTAATTAAGCTAGATAAATTGTTAAGATTAGAAAAGAAGCCTACAAGGAACCTATTTATAGATTTTAATTATTATTGATTATATTTGAATTTAGTTTGCTCTAGATTATGAATTGATTTACCTATAATATATGTTTGTCTTAAATTAATAATTAGTCTTATATCTTATATTATAGGATCCGGTTGATATCCAGGGGAGTAATATTTTGGGGACAATCGTGTCCATTAGAGGTGAATTTTTTTCTCACTAGTATTTTTATGATATATAATTGCATGAGTACATAGTATTATGTTTGAATAATCTTGTGCTCGAAAAATAAATGGTCTATTATTTTTCGTGTATATGAAAGTTAAATGTGATTTCATCTATTTCTGTTGTGGTCTATCCTATAATACGTTGTTAGCCTCGTACAAGATATGAAAAGCAAATTTGATTTTATGTAAAATATAAAAAGTGAATTTGGCTCTCATGCAGTTTCAAATAATTGTGGGTATTGCTTTATCTGAAAGCTTGATGAAGTATTTTGAACGTATTTCAATAGTTTAACGGATTCAAAGATTTTCTATGACTTAATATCTAATAAAAGTAAAGAAAAATAAAAAATTCGTAAACTGTTTTAACTGGGATGAGGAGTTTTACCGTGTCCACTTTATTTAAAAATATCTGTAAATTCTGATACACAAGGTATTACTCATTTGACAAGTGATTCTCGATGTTTTCAAACCCTTAAAAAGTTCACTGTGGAGTGATTCTGCCTACCATATGGTGAATGCATTTTTATTTGACCTCTCTGTATTAGCCCCTATGTATTGGCCCTTCTGTACTTGGCCAGTAATCTATGACAGTATTAGGTGCATTCGATTCTCAGAAATTATCTATTATATGATGTGTTTTACGCATTCCCATGCTATTTGGCTATAATTCGTAGCCTTAGTGTGACCTATGAGGTAAATTTCATATTCATGAATAACTCATCGAGAATTAAGATTCTGACAATTGACTGTGAAATTGAGAAAATAATAATTCTTTGGTTTTGTACAATTTAATAGTTTTTTTTCTTTCTAATGTTTACTTTGATTCAAAAAGGGACTGACTCTAGAAAATATTACAATATATTCAGTTACACATAAGAAATAAATTATAACCGTTGCATTTTCTTGAAGATGACAATATTACAATTTTTTGATCGTATTTTGCTATTCTTGAACCTCTGATGCAAAACTTATAATTCGTTATTTCTGTGAATTATTATTATTATTATTATTATTATTATTTTGTTAATTATCTAGAAACTCTAGTGGGGAATGTTCTCACTGAGCCCTAGCTCACCCCGTTGTTTTTAATTTTTTTTCAGATCTGACGTAGCGTCATAGTAGTCGAACTTTTGGTTATGACATTTTGTTGAGAGGCGTTATATGGAAAGCCTCCTTTTTTATATTACATACAGTCAACAATATGATTTATTTTGTAGATGCTTATAATGATGAGCTTGTGGGTTGTGAGTACCGATTATATACATATATATAGTTGCTTTGAACTTCCATCATCAGCAGGTTTATAAATATTTTGTGATAAACTATGTGATATAAAGTGTCAGGCTTGACTCGTGCATAAGACTTGTCTTGTGCATGGGTCGCTGCTGTCGCGTAACCTGTATTTATGAATTTTCGTTGCAGTTTTGGGGCGTGACAGTGAGTGCATGCATGTGATATTACATGCGTGCATACGTGCTATGTATACTTGTTTCCATCACTTGCCGTATTAAACATGATGAGTGTGGTGATTGCCAGGTTTTGGTATCTGCAATGTTTTAGGTGGCTTTATGAGCTCATGATATATTTGATTTTCACTAATGATTTAATATCAGGGACTGTCATTTTATTTGCTTATATAGTGGCTTGGTGGACCGACAAGAAGAGGAAGGGAGAACTATAAATGGAGAAGTCAAAGCATGGATGGAGCTTTTATGCTTGTATCTGATGAAGAGTTTGGTGCAGAAGTACCTACACAAAGTCTCTTGTTGAAGGTTCAAGCACAGTGCCAGTATCAGAATACAAGCCAATTCCTGATCTTGATTATCTCCAGGTATACTCTTCTTTCTACGATAAATAGGCAATGTCCTTCAGTTGCGGGTCATGATAGTTTTTATTTGGATTAGAAATATACGACTAAGGAAATTAAATGAGTGGGACTCGTAATATGGGATTCATGCCTCAGCAGCTTATTGAGATTCTTAGCTATGCTATGGTGATAACGGTACGTTATTGATTCATTATTTGCAATGACTTAGTATCCCGACATCCTTTGGACTTCTTTCTGAATCAGAGGAGCCTTTGTATTTAAATTGCAGAAAAATCATATTTTTACTTCAGGAGCATCAGGGACTAATGCTGCGGAGCCCTGAGAGCAGAAAAACCAGAGTTACTTACTGTAATCTTGCCCCAGATCTGAAAATGCAACCACCTGAGAGTCAGGAGTTGTTGGCTAACGTAAGCGATTTGTAACTCTTTTTCCATAGAACTGTCCCTGCAACTATTCTCATCACTATGGGTTTTTGTTGCATTTCTATCATTACTTCCTCTGATCCTTGGTGTGTTCAATTGCACAATTGCCATAAGTGGTTTATGTGAACTTGACCAAAAAGTTTAAGCCCTCTAAAGACGAACTTTTGGAATTTGGAATTATACCCATCTGAGTATTTTAAACAGTCGGCAGTGCTACTTGACACAGGGATTTTCTGCCCCCACTTTATGAACCTAACCATCGTTTGTCAAGTATCCATCTCTATCTCTTTTGCAATTGTTGCTGCCACGGGCTTTGCTTTGCTCTTGCAACCTCAAGGTGAATTTGAGGATTACTTTCTGAAGTTCAATCAAAAGGAGTTGTCGGCCCTTGATGTTGTGCGCGGCGCGGAAGCGGGACAAACAAACGGGCGTGCTTCGAGAACCAAATCAATTCAAACGTCGAGATAAAGACCAAAACAACCAAAATAACGGCACAAATCCAAACACAATAGTTTAACGTGGTTTGGCAATTGCCTACGTCCACGGGGCAAGAAGGGGATGTGGTTTTCACTAATAGAGAAGAAGAGTACAAACTAAGATTATAAATCACTCGAAGGAACAAACTAATCTCACCACAAAGCTCTCAATCTCTCCAAATAAAACCCTAAACAAATAGCTCAGAAAACTCTACTTTATCTGTGCTCCAATATCCCCAAACCAATCTCCAATCAAAGCTAAGGAAACCCTAAAAAACGTGTCTATTTATAGCAAAACACAATCCCAAACAGATTAGGATTCTAAAAACCAAAAACAAAACAAAATAGGAATCCTAATAACCTCATGTTACCAAAATAGATTAGGAATCCTAATAGATTAGGAATACTGCTATCCAATAATTCTCCACCTCAGCGAAGTGTTCCCAAAACCGAGTCGACACCAACAAAACCAAATGCCTCACTTGCTGCTTCTCAATCCTCAACAAGTCGAGGCCCAAACGGGAGTGCGAACACTCACCCAAACGTGGTATCTACTCACCAAATCGGCTACATCAAAACTGACTGCCTACGTATCCTCTTGCCCAAGGAATCAAGCATTCACGTAATTCACCCAAACAGCCTCCAAAAGCCCTCAAACAAATAGAAGAGCACGCAACCCTCCTCCATCATCACCAAATCTGCGACTGATAGCACCTCCAATGATCTCAAACTGAAACGATCCAAACACCTTCACCTGAGGTGAACCAATGGCCATGTCCAAACTGTGCCTATCAGCTGCACTCAAATCAATCAACACGTCATCTGCATCCAAAACCAAATGATCTTCACGCTGTGTCACCTCAGCTGAAGTCCCAAATAATACAGAATGACCTGGAGTATGTGGAGTAAACTCCACCCAATGTGGAGTAGCATCACCCTCCACCCGCTGTGATATCCAACTGATCTGATCAACACTCTACCTGTCGAGAGTCCAATGTGACATACCTGATAAGAACGAAATCAGAAGCTCTCAAATGATAATCAAATGAGCCTCTGAATCCCAAACGTGCAATCGAATCAAATCTCACATCCTTGATGTGACCAAATACTGGGTAACCAAATATCTGACGCCAACCAAAATCTGAAGCAGCTCCACCAGATCCAATAACTCCTAATGCAGCAGTCGGCGACCTATGCATAAGATGACCCAAATATGTCAAAGCCTGAACTCCAAAACCAATGCTCGACATCAAACGTCGATCCTCCTCCAGAAAGAAACGATCAATCAAAAATATCATCTCATCTCGTCGCCCCAACGTTTCCTCTCCAACGAAGTGTCTCAAACTGCCATGAGCTCGGCACAAATACAGTAGGTCCCTCTTATACCTCCCTCTAAAACCAGAATGAAGTACCTTCACCTTACTGCCAATACACTTCTTCAACTGTTGTTGACTACTAGGATTTCAAAACCAACGGGACTTGGTTGCAACCCACAAATACCTAGTACAATCCCAACAAAGGAAACCAAAATACCAATTACCTTCTAATGATGCCTCCTTGGAAGACCCCCAAATGCCTGAATGAACATTAAATAGAAGACCCCTCAATCATCGAATAGAAGTGCCAAACTCCACCTAGGTCTCCTTGCTCATACCAACGTGCTCAAAGGACTTCAATATGCAGGTTAAGGGCACTTCTCAATCATCCAATGCACCGTATCAACAATCAAATATCCCAGCCTCAAATCCTTCTATCTCGGCCAACTATCTCAAAGCACCAACAAACAAAGAATAGATCCAAACTGATAAAGGAGAGATTTTTACCTCCAATTGAAACCCTAACAAGAGTCTCAAACGATCTCACGATCCACAAATAGGAAAAGTCCAACTTTTATCTCCAAACGAAGCCTCAAAGAGCCTCCAAAGCGATCTACTCCTCCAAATAGCCCAAGCGTCAACAAACCAATGCGGAAAACAAACCAAGAATAGATCCAAAACTGAGAAAAGAAAGAAACTTTACCAAAAAGATCCCACATTTCTCACCAACTGAAACCCTAGACGAGCTTCCCAAATTGATCTACTCCTCCAACCAAGACAAAACCCTAGATCTGAAATCCGGAGCTCTGATACCACTTGTTGTGCGCGGCACGGAAGCGGGACAAACAAACGGGCGTGCTTCGAGAACCAAATCAAACCAAACGTCGAGATAAAGACCAAAAAACCAAAATAACGGCACAAATCTAAACACAATAGTTTAACGTGGTTCGGCAATTACCTACGTACACGGGGCAAGAAGGGGATGTGGTTTTCACTAATAGAGAAGAAGAGTACAAACTGAGATTACAATTCATTCGAATGAACAACTAATCTCACCACAAAGCTCTCAATCTCTCCAAATAAAACCTTAAACAAATAGCTCAGAAAACTCTCCTTTTTCTGTGCTCCAATATCCCCAAACCAATCTCCAATCAAAGCCAAGGAAACCCTAAAAAACGTGTTTCTATTTATAGCAAAACACAATCCCAAACAGATTAGGATTCTAAAAACCAAAACCAAAACAAAATATGAATCCTAATAACCTCATGTTACCAAAATAGATTAGGAATCCTAATAGATTAGGAATATTGTTATCCAACACTTGAAACTTTTGGGTTAGTGATATTTTATGGGATTCTATTAGGTAGGCACACATTTATGCATGTGTATGTGAAGTATGAGTGTAGATGTATATGGTATTTTGAGGATGAAGAAATAGAGGAAAGTTGGTGGTTAGATATCTTCTTCAAATGCCCATTTACGATGAAGTATATATCCTACCATTTTGGTGAGAATGGTAATGGTGGGATAACTGGAAAGAATGACGTGTCACAATATATCATTACATACTTCTCTTATTCATCTAGTGACATGCATATACTTGTTTTTATTAACTACAAAAGAAAATAAAGAACAACACGTCTGTTAGTTTGATCAAGTTTATACTTCTGCAGAAACTTCGTGTTTTGGCAAACCTGTTATTTTTTTAATTTTTTAATGCATTTTCCAGCTCAATAATCTTGTTGAGAAACCCGATCATTTGCCATTAATTGAAGCTAGCAGGTTAGTTCTCACGTCTGCTTCTACTCATCTTGGCCCTTTATGCAGTCTTTAAATGATCCAATATGGTAATCACTGGTGCCCCTAAAATAAATGCCTTATTTAATTTTCTGATTGAGATATAATCAGTACTTTTGTTGGGTATGAGCCCACATTTGGGTCCGAACATAATTATTCCCTATATAAATTTCAAGACGTGATTTTCTGGAAATGGCTTGTGTAATTGTTGGGTTTTTTTTCCCCTCATTATCAAGTTATTTGTCTATCTATCCAAATGCAAGAGCTTTGACTTTCAAGTAATATGATGCAAAACGAATCAGGAACTTCCTTTTATTCATTACCAAGAATTACATTGAACTAATGGGTTATTCTAGTTAATTTTGAAACGGTAATTATTACCAAGTGCTTGGCAATATCTATATTTGAGCCTTAACCTTCACATCAATTCTTTCAGAAATTGTTATATGAAATTCTTTGTTGTTATTTGCTTATGTCACTACTGATCTATGGTTTTTCCGCTAATCTTATGGTAGTTTAATGCTAATAAAGCAAAGACTATGGACATTATTTTGATGCATCCTTGTTGGTAAAATTATAGGTTGTGCGACGGAGACATTCTCTCACATGTGCAACAAGTGATATGCTTTGCGTTCCATGACAGCAGACTGCTCATGGAAACTTACCAAAAGCGAAGAATCTCCGAAAGATTGTTACTCTCTTTTATTTGGACTAAAAATCATCATAATTGATGCTCCGATAGCGTTTACTTTATTTATAAACAAATAGGCATGGCTCCTTTCTGCAAATATTATTTTTGCTTTTCTTTTGTCCTTACTTTGTCTAGGAAAGCTATGAATTTGTTTCGGTGGTGAAGGGAGCCTGTAATCATTTTTTTTTATTCTTTTATAGAAAGAAAATGCAAATTCGTCCATATGAGCTATTGGACGTTTCCTTTGTTACTGTTTATTTTGTTAATGTTTTGAGTGTAAGCCTAGTATCTATGTTCTTAGCTTCTGCTTCTGTTCTGTTTAATTACTTGGTGCACGGTAGCTGGAGATTTGTGATTATTCCTGCATTAATTGGTTTTGATTAAATAATAAGTTGTTGAGTTATGACATTTTATGTTTTAAGAACATATTGTGGCATTTTGGGGGTTCCAGAATCAAGCCAACATCTCAGTTTGACTGTAACATCCCTCAATGAGGATGTATATGATTTTCACTAAACTAGTATAGTGCACGTTTTTGCACGTAAACATACTTGTTTTGTGTTATAAATTTTTTTTTCCCCGTATACTGGTAATTACTATAAAGTATACTGTGTTATCCAGGAAGTTGTTTCAGTATGTATCGGTACTATAAAATTGCATGAATTTTTGCAGAATACTTTACTAAAGGACATCGTTGACAACTAGAAAGTAAATGCAAACTAGACAGACAGAGAGATGAAAAAATCAACAACAAGCGTAGGTCAACAAGCACGAGGGATCATCATTATCCAAGATCCCCTGAGGGGTAACAACGCAAAACCCGAGCATGAGGGATCATCATTCTCCAAGATCCCCTGAGCGGTCACGACACAAAACCCGAGCACAAGGGATCATCATTCTTCAAGATCCCCTGAACGGTAACAACCAAGAAACTGGCTGGTTTTCTGTCGCTCCTCTGTCCAAACTGCTGCTTCCGTTCTCAATCACAATGCAGTTGCTCCTGATCCAGACGTTGAACCTGGCGCTATTGACGTGCAGGATCTTGACAAACCCAACATGGACGAAGTCGCCCCCGCACAGAAAGGCGGACATGTGAAGCTGCCAGTTGAGGTCATAGATCTTCCAGGAAACTCAACCGATTCTGATGGTGAGGGAGTCAGCTTAGTAGCTGCCGAGGCAGTAGTCAGGGAGCTCACTGGTGGGGCAGAGCAGGATGCTATAGCCGTTTGCTGATGGCTGATGGGCCTCTGGTGTTGAGCTGCTTGCCGTACTGACGTACTCCACTACGGTTAGCCCAGTTCTGGTGATTTTGTAGCAATACATGGCCATGGTTTTCACTTGTGAGAAACACAGAAATTGATTGCTCCTTGGCCTTGGCATACAAACAAGACCTACAAGACTTATTGATCATTTGACAAAACACAAGCACTCAAAAGTTTGGAGTAACCAACAACAATTACCAAGTTCCTAGCTATAGACTGATGACCCCCAGGGACTTCGTTCTAGGCAAGTAAAACTTCAAAAACAAAGTTCGGGCGGTTTATGTGCAAAAACCCCCAAAGGTGTGCGTGGTTAAGCAAAATTAACTCTTTAGTACCCGGCATAATAACCTCTGCATGTTCATCAGCTGGATGAGAAACTATAGTCTTATGCCCAATCGGAAATTTCGACCGATATTATCCATATCTCGGGCTCATGCAAAATTTCATCTTAAGTGGACAGATAGAAGTTATAGATATCTAATGATTTAGAAGACAGCATCAAACCATCCAGATAGAGAACATTAGAAAAAGTTACATCCATCACTTGCCAACACAAACGTCTCATAACCAATTTAAGTTCAAGTTACGTTCAAGTATATGGTTTCACTGCACTTAAAAATAGCATCTAGTAGCTCAATCTCTGCTTCTCCTCATATCTGATCTTCTCTTCCTGCAAGCGAAAGGTTAAAGGCTATTTGTTAGTTAACAAACGGGGAAATTATCTGCCATGTCTACCATCTTTTCCCAACAAATTCAACTGCATTTGTAGAGTTAAGGTGTTCATTTCCTCAGAGATAATAGGTTAATAAAGACGTGATGTTTAAGTCTAAAAAGTTGATGAATTAATGTCTAGTTGTAGTCAAGATTGACAGCTGATACATATTAGAGACAAGGCATACATCAAGAACAGCCAGATTTCACTTGCATTGTATGGGTTAATGAACATCTCATACCAACCAAAACAAATAACTTACTGCATCGCATTGTCAAGTAAACTTCAAATGATATTGACATGCAGTTGATTGAAGAGAGAACATATGATAAAGATTATTTAAGCAAAAGAAATATGTCAATCATGTGCCAACGAATGCTTCTACTTGTGCACACGAACATGAGAAAAAATGGATTCATGGAAGTTCAAATTAATTGCATTGGCACATTTATTCATGATAATGCAGATGCTTTAATGACTAAAAGAAAATTGGTAGCTCACTAGTAAAGAGATTATGAGTTTCATGCTCCACTAAAGAGTAGTGTTGCATCAGAAAAGAGGTCTCTATAATCTACATATCTAATCATAAATGAATTGAGGACAAGGATTGTGCTAATGTTGTCTTATCTCTTATGGGTAAACATCGAAGGGATGGATCAACTTACGAAACTGACAGGCCAATATGGGAGAGAAGAGGAGAAAAAAAAATGTGCGAAAGAAAAAAGCAATTAGGGTATACTATCTTTAGTAACCACCAAGAAAAGTACGGCGGATAATGAAAATATTTGGGTATATCAAGAGTAACAGGAAGAAGAAAGAAAAAACTCACAAGCTGTACGGCACATTGAACCACACTACAAAATCTTATTGAAGAAAAATGATTGGAGCTAATCAGCCCAATTTAGTGGAGAAAAAATGATTGGAGTTAATCAACCCAATTTAGTAATGCTACAGAAACATGTGTGTTTTCTCATCAAAAGAAGCGGATGAACTTGTCATTGTTCTATTGATTTGAAAACGAAAATTCAAGTTTTCTATTGATTTGAAAACGAAAATTCAAGTGTTTGGTTATGGGAAGTTGTGCCGAAAAGATCTAGATTCCTTGCCCCGTTGACCAAGCCAGCGTTCTTGTGCTGGCTGATGCTTGTTATTTGTCTTGTTTTGTTTGAACTTGGTGTGAAGGGAGCTCTTTCTTGAACTTAAAGTTTATCTTAGAGAAATTGCCTCGTTTGATAAAGAAAGCCGAGTTTTGAGCAAGGGTACAAGGTGCTGACACCAGATTTAGAACCAGTATAAAAAGGCTAAAATCTTGTAAAACAAGATTTTTGAACTGCGGCACAATGTTAGAGCTCGGGAGCAGCTGGAACTAATGCACAATAAATAGGCATTCAAGAACCCTCTCAAAGTTGGTGAAGGGTCTCTATTTATAGGCTGAAAAACCCTTCATAGCACGGGATTTAGCTTGCGCGAACCTGAGCGAGGTTCATGACAATCGCACACGACGCACAGTCATTTAAATGCAGTGCAGTCCTTTACAGCTCACTGCACCACACGGCTGTCAGAAGGCTGCCGCGTGAGGTTGGAACTGTCCGCTCTCATTAAATACGACGTGGTCGTAGCAGCTTTTTTATCCCCACAGCTTAGACTGTGGTGTGCACGGCATTCAGATCAACAACTTTTGGACTTACTCTGGCTGCGCGGGGTTAGAACCGCACACCAGTATGATGAACAGTACCTCGTACTGCAAGTCAGTAAATGATGTATCCTGAGCATTAATTGCAGGGGATTTGGGCTATTTAACTTCTGCATGGGTTGCCATCACCGCGATTTGTCGCCCTTTGATAACCTTGCATCAGGAGCGGGGTTGTATCCATGCGCGGAGATCAGCTGCACATGACTTATGAACTGCGCGCCACTGAAACCATGTGCCACCCTTAACCTCACGCTGTAGTTCAGTTCAGAGCGCTGTTAGGGCTGATTTGCAACTCGTTTCGACTTGGGATTTTGGGATCACCTATCCTGAGCAAAATTGGGACTTTCATGACTTTGAGAAGCCCACTGGTCATATTAAATGACCAAATTGCCCTTAGTGGGCTCCATGCTGTACCCGGGTAATCTTATCTGATGGTTTGCATTTTTTGACCGCCCACAATGTGTAAACTAGATTAACGTAAGGCATCAAATAGGGAGCAAAAGGGGGTTACTACAGTCCCAACCATCCTGTGGGTATACATCAAATCTGATATGGTGGAGGATTATTATCAGCATACATCTAAATGCATAAGCAGTGGAATAAGACCAAAAAAATTCCTGTAACAGTTTATCCCAACCATGGCGACAAGAAAGTATGGTTAGCTCTATCAAGAAAGACATTTTCCACTTCAATGAGTTTGTTTCAGAAAAATCCATTACTTGATAACGGTCCCAGACTCACACTGGTGCGGTATAATTGGATATATAGCGAAAACATGCAAGAGGATAGGCCACCTACACTAGAGAACATATAGTCAAAATGCACATGACATGAAAAAAAAATGTTTCAGAGTTAGAAACTTTTAATTAGAGTTGCAATGGACATAATGAGATTTCAAATCTCTAATCACTTTTTTGAGTTCATATTCTTAAATCAAGATGCAGTAATTTATTGGTCCAAATTTGTCACAGGTGAAAGAGGAATGATATTCATCTTTCTTTAATGGAGCTATTTGCAAGAGATTTAATATTTGAAATTAGGATTATTTACATCCCCGTACCTTGTGATATAGTATAATTAAATGGGTGACTCTTGGGTTTGTATATCTACACAGATAACCCTAAGGTTACCGACTGATATTCACAGGTAATCCAATCAAAGTATTCTTAGGGTTAGCCATGTAAGCTAAGTCAGTAATCTTAGGATTATCCATGTAGATACAGAAAGCCCACAGTCACTTGTGTAATTACACCATACCATAGGGTACCGGGATGTAAAAAATTCTTGAATTTTTTTTTAACATAACATGTAACTCTATATTGCATTTAACAGTCTTTTATATAGGTTTAATAGACTTGAATGTATTTTAGTCTTATTTTTGACAGCTTTCAAATATAAAAATATTTCCATAATATATTTAGATAGTTATTTATAGGTCTCATAGATTATTTCAAAATTAATTGAGAGAAAGAGGTGAAGTAGGAAAGGAGGGTGAGGTGAAAGAAGAGGGAGAGAAACAAATGTAGTGTGTTTGGATAGTAGTAGTTGGAGCCTAATGTTGTTCCTAGTATCTTTCAAAAGGTTGTTGCAAAAGCAAAATAATCTAAAAGTAGGGGAAATGTTGCTGCATGCAAATTGAATAATGTTCCAACCGGAATTCAGAACTGTACATGATTTATTCAGTGTTATTGAGGCGCAAGGCGCAATGCGGGGGGCAAAGGTCCCTTACGAGCACCATGCGCAAGGCGCACAACGAGGCGCGCGCCTCACTAATTGAGACGCATAACTCAAACTAATATTTGCCAACATCATAAGATCATAAGACAGAAACATATAAGTAACATATTAGTTACCTACATCCAAAATTATGAGAATATCAACTTAAATCATCAAATTATGCTAACTGAATTTTTAAAGTAACAAAAAAGATACAAGAAACATGTATTTAAATAATCAAATTAAGTGATTAATAATTATGAGCATATGTTTATAAATTGTCACATAAAAAGACTAAGAAATATAATTAACAAACATGACTGTTCATAATTTTCTAGTTAGTATTCTTAATTGATATTTGCTACTTAGCATGAAAAGATAAAGAATGAATGTAACATTTACATATTTACATGTTCATAATTTGCTAGTTAGCATGCTAATTAGAGAAGTTACAATTAGCAAACAAGTATACTAAATTACTAATTATTGTTTCCTTTTTATAGGTTAAACATGAAAAGATGAATATAGATTAGCAACTAGTAAGAAAGAGTATATTTCATGATATAAATATGTAATTATGTAAATTATTTTAAAAAAATAGAAGAAAGAGTATGTTACATAACGCAGGTGTGAGGCGCACGTGAGGCGCACGCGAGGCACGAGCGAGGCGCATGTGAGGCGCACGCGAGGCGTGTGCCTCGCTGCGTGAAGCGCCCCACCTCGCTTGCGGGGCGCATTTCCCCCAGACCGAAGCGCCCCGCGCCCGGGGCGCGCGCCTCAATAAGCCTGGATGTATTAAATGCAAATGTTATTCCGACTACTTCCAAACAAACACACTTATTTTATTTGAGATAAAATTACTAATCTATCTCAATGTTTCTTTGCGATGTTCTCTTTACATCAAATTTTCTCCTGGCCCTAATCCTCCCGTTATAAATTAGTAAAAATATTGGAATAGATAGATGGATTTTTATTATCACAACCAATTAAGAATAAACACACAATTAGAGGGGATTAGGTTGGGGATTGAAAGTAAAATTGTGTGACTTTTAATAAAAGTATTTTGGCTTGTTAAGTATTCCGGTTTTACAAAGTGCGCTCACATTTGTAGGATTTGAGATAAATAGGTGAGAGAAAGAAATTGAGATACAAATACCAATGCATATCCTAAAGACACTGAAAACAGGTTCCATAAAATAGAACGTAGACATTTACTAAAAATGATAGTGATCTAGTTTATCTATATTTGAGATGGTATAATCAGTGTTGTCAATGCGCGAGGCGCAAGGCAGGGCGCAAAGCATCTTTACGCGCACATGCGCAAGGCGCAATGTAATGCGCGTGCCCGAGTGATGCGAGGCGCACACCGCACACATAATTTTTCAATATATATAATCAAACGCGAAAGAACATGTTTTTAGAATTTACATGATAAATAATATCTTACTACAAAATCACAATATAATGCCTTAATTTCTAATGCTAACACCTAATATAGTAGCAAAAATCATATAGTTTCAAATCAAATGTTAAATCAAGACTAATATCCAAGTAAAGGATTAGTAATGGTCCTCAATTGAAGGCTATTAGAAAGGCTTAATGAATTTATTTTGTTTTTTGGGATATGGAATATCAAATATAAAGACTCGATTGAAATGTTAACAAACAAAACTATATGAGGATATGTACTACATGCACCCTGCACAAAGTAAGGATGTACGCGAGGCGCAAAAGGCATTGTTGCATCAGATGTGGGGCGCTTCGTCACCGCCCCGCATCGTAAGGCGCATGAGGCGCAATAAGGCGAGCGCCTTTGAAAACACTGGGTATAATATTAACATTTAAAGATAGATATAAGAATCAAAATTAACAAGAGTAGCATTAAATGTCAATTGCTATTTGTGACATTCACATTCCTGTATGCAAATCATCCTCAAAGGAAAATGGCAATTTTAACCAAAGAAGTTTTTGATTGCTTAGTACCTTATTAATTTACCAAGTGTATTCCATTTGTAGATAAACATGCAGACATATGAGAGAAAGAAATACAGATAGAATAGAAGTGTGAGGTTTGAAATATTTAATTTGTTTCGTTTGAGTTTTATAAATTTACAAACTTATCCTATAAAACAGCAATATACCTTAAAAGTACAATACCAGAATGAGGAATGTTCATCATTCTTTCAACCTTTTTATCTCACTATTTCATACTAAATAAGTACACAGTTAAAATCATGTGTGCATAATGCATGTGACAAAAAAAGCTGAATGGTACCAAGTAAATAAATTTAAAATCCGAGTGTAAAAACCTATTTCACACATCCAAGCACCTAAAATATAAAAACACGCTGGAAAAAATGATAGATTTCTACCCCCTCACTATATCAATAAATAAAAGTAATATCTAAAATTTAATTGTTTAAGTGTATTAATAGGTATATTCATATCAGCTACAAGCTGAAAAGATACACATAAAAAAGGAAAGAAACAAATTACATGAAAAATATATTCGAATGTGTATTGTAAATAATATATTTCTCTACAACAAAATTATCTATGAAAATATTTCATAAATATTGCCTCTTAATTTAAAGTTTAAAATTTATTTACTTAATATGATAAAATTCAATGTTCTGTCACGCACATTATGCACGTGATATTTTAAATCTATACTAGTTTATAATGAAATAATAAGGGTAAAAATGTTGAAAGAATGTAAAAAATCCTCATTTCATTGTATTTTTTGGGTGTATTATTGTTTTAAAATGATAAATTTGTAAATTTACAAAATTTGCAGTATGAAATAAACTAACCATTTTTGACCTTTTCTACCTTATCTGTGTTTTGTCTATATATGCTTACAAATGGAGTCTACTTAGTAAAAATTGGCATGATGCTAAACAATTCAAACTGCTTTTGTTGAAGTAACCATTTTTTCCGAGTGATCTTTATGACATGAATGTAAATACCACAAATGGTGAACTGACATTTAATACTACTCTTGTTAATTTTGATTTCCATATGTATTCACAAACTTCTGTTTCATACCATCTCAAATGATAAAGTAGACTGATATTATTCCCATTAAATGCTCACCTTCTCCATCATAAGAGACTCATGTTCGACCCTCTATGATAATTCAATATTTATGTTGTATCTCTATTCCTTTCTCACATTTTTATCTTTATACCTACAAAGAAGTACACATTACAAGACAGGTGTGATATTTAATAATCTGAATTGTTTTTGTTAAGTTCGCACCATTTTTCCTTCGATCCTCAACCTAAGCGTCAGTCTAATAGTGTATTTTTCTTAAAGGAATGTGATAATAAAAATCTATGCTATCTCTATGTATCTATTATAATATATATACTACTCTATAATTGAAGGTTTGGGCTAGGAAAAGATGAACGAAAACGCTATGAAGAAACACAAGATAAAATGATAATTTTGTCTCAAATATATAAGGATGTGTTTGATTAGGAATAACAAATGCATTCACTGCATCATATAGTTCTGACTCTCTTATAACACTTCTCAATTTGGAAGCATTCCCCTATATTTAGCCTATTTTCCTTTGGCAACAATCGTTTGGTGTTGCGAGAACCAACCATACACATGTATTGAAATTTGGATGAAAATGGAACAACATGCAGCTCTAACAACTCCTATCTAAGAGCATCTCCAACAGTTTCCCTAAAAATTTCTCCAAAATGGGGAAGCAAAAGTCATATTCTCCAAATTATTTTTGCTCCAACTCCAACAGTTTCCTCATTTTGAAGAATCCTGCATTTATTACAATAATAAAAATATTCTACATCCCTATTTTGGGATGCTCTTATGCATTGGAACTGCCCCCATGGCTTTTAATTACGGATTTTGTTTTATATTTATTTTCTCCTCCATCCCGTTTTGAAAAACGTGCTGCATTTATGACAAAGATCTCCCCAAATATTTGAAGAATGCCCCAGATTTGGGGAAGACTCCCCTTTTTTCTCCTCCATCCCTATTTTGGGGAATGAAATGGGGAATCCGTTGGACCAAAAAAAAGCCCAAAATTCTCCAAAAGTAAGAATACCAATAAAATGGGGAAGCTGCTGGAGATGCTCTAATACACCCTAAACATTGTTTCGTCCTTTGTGTCTCTCCTGTCATACTTGCTTTCCTACTTCACTTCTCTCACGTATTTAAATTTGAAATTTAATCTCTTAACCTATAAAGAAAAAACTATAAAAATGCATTATGGTAATATTCAGTATATTTGAAAATGGTGAAAATTAATTTAAAAAAGGGATTTGAAACTATTAAATATTTATTAGAGTATTCGTCCATTAAATCTATAAATAAAAATTATTAAAAATAATATAGAATTACAAAAGTATGTATGATATTGAAAATTATTTTAAAAAAAAACTTAAACTTAAAACTTTCCTGCAACTGGTTCCAAATATGATTCCTATTTCACCTTAAAACCCTTACACCAACAAATCAGTCATCTTCATTGATGAATACAAACTCCAAAATGTAATTGAACTTTGAAAATCTCAATATGTCTACTGCACCTCTATCTAACTGTTCGACTACGATATACTTTTTCACGTCACTGCATTTGCATGTGCTGAATTTTCTCGTCATTTACTGTTGCCCACTATGGAACGTATTAACATAGGAGAATTTACTAATCCAAAGCCTTCTGCTTTGGAAGTGCTAGATGATATCTAGTAGACTAGTATCAATAGTCAGGGAAAAAGCCATACGAAATGGTTTGGAAAGGTTCTCAGTTTGTAGGCTTGTCTAAAAGCATGGTAGTTCAAAGAAAACTTCACATGAATTAATTAAGTAAACATGTTCAGGTATTTGTTTATCGTAGCTAGAGCATTTAGTACATAAATGTGTTCAGAGATTTGTTTGTTACATCTACAAGTCATAAAAGCTTATGATGGCCTAACAAGCAAGGAGGAGGGTGAGCCCAAGAAAATATGATTCCCATAATTCCTTAAGAATGCAATAGTGCTTGCTTAGACGGTAGTCAAAGGTCTGAGGCCTAAGATAGCACAACCAATACTTTCACAGAGAAACACTTACTCACTTAGACAGCAATCCAAAATTTTATTATGGGATTACTTCTATGAAGAACTACTTTCAGACTAAAAGAATGGATAATGTTTAAAGAACTGTTCAAAAGAGATGGGACCTAATATGGCAGAAGATTTGACAACTACGCATGTTCCAAGGATATTGATGATGTAATGAATGGGAAAGAGACTGAACAATAGAGTATAATGCATGAGAAAGCTCCAATCGTGAGGGGTTGTCTGGAACCAAACGCATTTTGTAAGTCTTATGGGACTCTGGTCAGACCAAAGGAGAAGGACTTCGTTCAGGCAGCATTATACTAATCAAACAACTACAGTTACAGTGACATGATGACTTTGATGTTCTTATCCACGAGCCCGAGATGCCAAGGCATATCAGCCTATGCATAGTATTATATGGAAATAATAAAGTTGGTGCTCATTAACAGAACCAACCTGTCCTCCCATTAGTTACATCTAAAGAACGACAAATTTTCACCTAAGACAGATTAACTACAGAGAACATTCTGCAGATGGTATATCATATAGACTGAAATCTTAAAATTTCATGTTCTTCTACACTAAAGAATGCTAAACATGTTAAAAATTGAAGTAGAAAGATCTTGTGACCACATGAGGTCGAATTTCATAATTGCCACTTTGAACAGTGGGTTCTACAACTATAATTGGTGGAAGAGAAGCCACTAGCAAGCGTTAAATTGGACAGATAAGGAATACAATGATATAGCATTGGATGAGGGGTGTTACTACAGCTGAGTATTAAAAAAACAAAATAAATAAACAAATCATGCAGTTGACCCTTAAATGGTGGGGGTAACTACTATACCTCAAAAGCTTTCTTCAAATACTGCAGCTCCTTGTCAAGATCTTCAATCCCCTGTCTATATGCCTGCGATGGCGAAGACTGGCTTGTAGTGTGGATCTGCAAAGAGCACAAGGGATGTCAAGCCGACACATTTTTCTGAAGGAAAAAGAAAAGGACATCCGCTAATTTACAAAATTACACTAAATTTGCAATTTTTGAATTTTGCACACTATTTATTTTATTTTTTTACCAGTGTAGTTAAAATTTGGCATCTGTACATATTAACACTGTTACGTGAAACTAATAACAAAAATATCCCAGTGGAAACACATTCTCAATACCCAATATCAGTATTAGAAAAACTGCAGTTGATCAAATCTTAAAACCCTAAACCCCTAAAAACACCAGCTTTTCAACGCAAAAAACTTACCCTCACTAAGATCTTATACTGGAGAGGATGAGGAAGCTTGTACCCCGCGAAAAGTACATTCGGATCCCTATGCAGCTGCCTGTATTTCCCAAAAAAAAAAAAAAACCCAAATCAAAGCCAACAAAAGGGGGGAAACCCAAATTACGACAAAGAAAAGGGGGCAAAATGAAAATTTTACATCCGAAGTATGTTTCCAATAGTATGATCCTCTCGTTCAATGGTGAAGGAGGCGGCGTTGACGATCTTGGTGTCCCTCTCGTACGAGACCCTGCGATTTCGTCCTCGTTGTGAAATTAAACTAAAAGGATTTGGGCGGAAATGAAAATTTGAAAGAGGGAGGGGGTGGAGAGAAAAAACTTTACTTCTTTGTGCCTTCCGGTACGACGAATCGCTCGTATCGATCGGGGGCGTTCATGGCTGCTGCTCTTCGATTCCTTGGTCGGAAAGGGGTTCGACGTTGAAGTTGAAGGAGAGGGGTTTTATCTAGAATTAGAACGCACCCGCATTTTCATTCCCAGTCATAGTGTGGGACCCACGAAAGGTTGGGCTCTTGTTGGGCCGGCAAAGAGCTGTGAGTTATATATTCAGTTTAACGACGCATCAATATGGTATGCCTTTGCGTTACTTTTGAATCGTCAAAATTGTCAGATCGGTATATTTTGTGGATCCTAAGTGACAAAATGGTATAAATTTTTTAACTTTTATCAAATTGGTATATTATGTAGCCTCCGGTGCCATATAGCCCTTAAGTATGGTCGAGGTCATTTTTCCGCTCAGTGCTGATGGGATTTATTACACAAAACCCCCTTATCAAAAACTCATCCTACTCCTAAAACCTCCTCCTCCTCCTCCTCCTCTCCCTCCCCCTCCTCATCCTCCTCTTCCCCCTCTCCCTCCTCCTCCTCCCTCCTCCTCCTCCTCCTCCTCCCTCCTCCTCCTCGATCCCTTCACCAGATCCACCACCCCTCCCTCTGCCACCTCAGCCGCCGCGATCTTCTTCGAACTCATCACCAAACCCTTCTCTTTCTATCTCTTTCCTCATAATCCATCTATATTTATTCATATATCTTCCTCATCCTCATCATATCCTTTCAAAGGTAGCCTCTTTCTCTCAACCCACTTCCCTTGACCCAAATAAGACTGATGGGTTTTCTTCAATCTCATAAAATAGCATGAATTTTCTGCAAAATTAAGCATTCAAATCTATACATGGGTTTTGTTGGGTTTGTTGAATGGCATAATTTCTTGCACAGTTTCTAAAAATTCTCAAGAAATTTCAGAAAATAAGAGGGATTTAGGGGGAAAGAAGAAGAAGAAATGTGTGCAAGTCTTTTAACAATTGCAACCCAATTCATGGTGATATCCATCATCATTGCATCCATCATTCTCTTCATTGGCATTGGAGTCTTGGTTCTGTTGCATATCTGCATTGTAGGAAAAGCATTTAGAAGGAGTCTGAACACAATTTCGCAAGGAGATGAGCTTAAGAATGAAGGGAACAATGGTTTGTCCCCTGATGATTTGGAGAAGCTCCCTTGTTATGATTTCGACGGCGAAGAAAAAGATTGTGCAGTTTGCTTGGAGAGCTTTAGAAATGGGGAGAAATGCATGTTACTGCCAATGTGCAGGCATAGTTTTCATGCTCAGTGTGTTGATTATTGGCTCATGAAGACACCGACTTTGGTGGTCATTTGTTGATGGAGGTTGGATTTGAGAGGAGATTGTTGTTGATGATGATCATGATGACATCGATTTGTTGAAGAGGAGGAGGAGGAGGGGGGAGGTTGAAGAGGATGTGGAGGAGGAGGAGGGGGAGGTTGAAGAGGATGTGGAGGAGGAGGAAGAGGATGAGGAGGAGGAGGGAAAGGGGGAGATTGAAGAGGTAGAGGAGGAGGAGGGAGAGGGGGGGTTAGGAGCAGGATGTGTTTTGATGAGAGGGTTTTATGCAATAAATCACGTCAGCACTGGCCGAAAAAATGACCCCGACCAAATTTAAGGGCTATATGGCGTTGGAGGCTACATAATATATCAATTTGACAAAAGTTAAAATTTTTATACCATTCTGTCACCTAGGGTCTACAAAATATAGCAATCTGGCCATTTTTCCCTTTTAAATCTCATGCACTTGAGCAGTGCTAAAATGGCCTTTTGTTAATGCGCCTCAACGTCTACACATGACCAATATGATTCTTTAAAGATAACTTATGAATATTATATATATATATATATATGGGAAAAGTGTTCCTAAGGTGACGCCTTAGATAATCATCTGAGGACGCGGCCTAAAATCACATGATTAAGCTATATTGTGGATGATCCGCTCCATTGAACTTGATCTACATATTCTATAACCCCAACACACCAAGTTTGGGGTGAACCCATCGTCGTTTGACCCTCCGTTGAGCCATGTAAAAAGTTCTATTCATTCAAAACCGTTGAAATTAATACGAGTGGATGAAGGGTCAAACGACGACGGGTTCACCTCACACTTGATGTGTTGGGGTTTTAGAATATGTAGATCAAGTTTAACGGAGTAGATCATCCATAATATAGCTCAATCATGTCATTTTAGGTCGCGTCCTTAGATGATTATCTAAGGCGTCACCTTAGGAACACTTCTCCATATATATATATATATATATATATATATATATATATATATTATATATATAGAAAAACTTATGTCACTTAGTGGACTATTCACCGCAAGTTTCTATCCATTGATGAAAAGTTTCTTCATATGATACACGGATCTCTAGGTATCATCAATGGATAGAAACTTTGGTGGATGGTCACCTTAAGTTGACATAAGTTCTCTCTCTCTCTCTTTCTCACTATATATAATATATATATATATATATATATATATATATATATATATATATATATATATATATATATATATATATATATATATATATATATATATATATATATATATATATATATATATATAGTATTTATATATATATATATATATATATATAGGGAGAGGTTCAAATAAAAACCTCACTATCCTAAAAACTAAAAACCAATCCTCTCCATTGGATCTAGATTCATCCAATGGCTGAGATTAAAGCTGCATAAGGGTAATTAGGTAAAATAAGCAGCCCACTAAAGAGAGGTCATTAATGCTTCTCTATTGAGTTCTCCATTTCCCCATGCAACTCTCTCTCTCTCTCCAAAATCACAGCAACTCTCTCTCTGTCTTCAACATCTCCTTATCCACGGTCTTCTTCAACCTTCGTCTTCATGGTTTATGAAATTATTTTGACGCTTCGTCTTCACGGTCTTCTTCAACATTCGTCTTCATGATTCAGTGGGCAGTTAAATTATTTTGACGCTTTAATGGTAAGTTTATGAAATTTGTTTGATTTTTCGTCTAAAAGTTTTAGTTTTAATCTTAAAGATCGTAGCTTTTTGTTGTAAAAGGTGAAATATTTCACCTTTTAGTCTGAAAAGTTTTTTGTTTTTTGAAGAAACCAATTGAAAAACGAAGACACGCATAAGTGAATCTAGATTCACTGCAGTGAATCCAGATTCAGTATGTGAGGTGTTTGTTTTTTACCATAAAAATCATAATTTTTTGCTGTAAAAGGTGAAATCTTTTCATGGTTTAATATTTTATAGCTTGTTTTCTAACATAAGTTTCTTATTCTTTTTGTTTAAAAATTTATAGCTTGTTTTTTACCATAAGTAGGGAGAGGTTCTAATAAAAACCTAGAGAACTAAAAACCAATCCTAACCCTCCAATCTATCTAATCAAATGGCCTACATTTCGATGGCAGAATTGTAAATATAGACACATTTAATACACATCAGCTGTAAAAAAGGGTAAAATTGAACAATTCACTACATTAATGGTGGCTGGCAACATTGGAAACAATTCACTACATTAATTGGAATAATTCACTACATTAATCCAACACATCCTTTAATACTCTCTTTTACAGCACGTCCTTTAATACAACACGTCATTTAATACTCTCTGTAACTCACTTCCATCTTCTATCAAGATTTGATCTTCCATCTTCGCATGAAGAACACAGCAACAATTCATTAAAAATCATCCTAACCATCCAAGCTTTCGATGGAGTGAATCTGGATTCACTCCATTGAATCTGGATTATATTGAAGCTCGATTCATTGGAGTGAATCCAGATTCACTGAATTGAATCCAGATTCAGTGGACTGAACTCGTTATCAAACAATAGCAAATCTGCAAAAATAAAAAACAAAAAGAATAAGAAACTTATGGTAAAAAACAAGCTATAAAATTTTAAACCATGATAAGATTTCACATTTTACAGCAAAAAGTTACGATTTTTATGGTAAAAAACAAACACCTCACATAACTGAATCTGGATTCACTGCTGTAGACGTCAAAAAATGATAATGGATATCCAAATACAGCTCAAGAGGAAATCATCCAAAAAAAACACAAGTCTTGACGCTGCCTCGCACGCGAGACAGACTTGACTGATCCTCGCCGTGTGCGAAGACATCTTTACTGTTCTCGCCGCGCGAGACAGTCTTTACTGTCTCGCCCGCGGCGAGACAGTCTTTACTGTCTCGCGGGCGAACAGGACATGACTTTACTGTCTCTGCCCACGCGAGACAGTCTTTGCTGTCTCGCCCACGCGAGACAGTCTTTGCTGCTCTCGCCGTGCGAGACAAGAATTTACTGTCTCGCACGTGAGACAGCTTTCAGATGGTCAAAACTACCTTTACAACTGCCCTACACGTTCCACTAACTGTTCAAGAACGTGGAAACGTCTGGGCGAGAATCACGTGAGATAACTGCCAAAATAACGGACATTTGAAACGTGGAAGACAGTTAAGATGAAAACTGCCTGCGGTTACGTGTTCCGTCAGACAGTGTTAGCTTCTCGGGCGGCCGAGACAGTGTTTACTTATCTTCGCGGGCCGAGACAGCAAACACTGTTGCTCTCGCCGTCGAGACAGCAAAAGCTGTCTCGCGAACCTGTTTTCTTGCCAACTGTTCTTGGAGGTTATAAATACCCTCTAAGGCCATTTTTCCCAGCGGGCCTGATTCATTTTTTAGCACTTCAAAGCAATCCAGAGCAGAGAGAGGGCAGACGGTCGTCTTGAACTTTCGGCCACTCCTTTGATAATCAGGCTTTGACTTGATTTCAAGAAGAACGACTATCTTACTTCGATAAGAATCGTTTCAATTTCTCACTTCGAAAACGAGTCAGAGAATCATAAACCCCTCACGGTTCAAATCAGAATCTTGTGACTTGGTGGTCCACGAGTCAAAGCGCTCCCGGCACAGGCAAAGATCCCACGAAAGCAGTGATCCAACAAACTGATCCTGCGTTATTTTCTCAAGAGTGTGTAATTTTCTTTTTGGTTGGTTAAAGAGTCTTTATAAAAGGCTGTTTCTTTGCAATTTATTGCTAATCGACCGAAGATATAATTGAATTCGGACAACAAATTCCGCTTTTTGCACGGAAAACAAACTGGCCGCCACGAGTGGGAGCCAACGGTCTCGCCTGCCCGGAGACCGTCGTGTCGCAGCAAAGCCATCAAGATCCTTGTTGAATCAACAGTCGAGTACGAGCGACCAAGCGTAAGTTCGAGGGGAGTATTTGTATTTCTCATCTGTACTAAATCTTCTTCGCCTCACAAATGCAGGAAGATTTCATCTTTGTCGCAAGTTGTCAAACCCTACAGATGAAGACCTTTTCGCCTTAAATTTTGCTGAGAATTTACTCCGCAACCTCTCTGCCTCATAAATGACTCTTCTCCAGTTCAAGGAGTCATTAAATCAAAGCCCGCCAGCTATGACAGAAAAGAGCTCGCAGAGACAACGCCCAACGCCCGTGCTCGCCAAATGGCTAAAGCCTTGTTGAACAACCGACGAGGTGTCGTTATCACGCGGACCTTAAAGGTCGAACGAGACATCGAGTAGTTTCAGTTGTCTCAACAACCAATGCACTCTATCTCATGTTAAAATAACGACGAGGAATTGGACTATGTGTCAAAAGGACCTCTGTTCAACCCGTCAAAGAGCGTATACGAAAACGTCTGCAAACGCTGCTCTTATTCGTGTCCTCTCACAACAAAGACGAGCAAAGGAGAAGGACAACGGTGACCAAATAACCACCGAAACTCCGCAATTTGGATTCCAAAGTCTGGAATTATGGCAAAATCAGCAGTTCGGAGCCCGTTAAGACCCCATACCCGCAACATGCGGTCGGTTTAGCCGTGCGACTCCAACATAACTGGATGCCTCAAAGACAAAATAAATTGTCCTGAGAATCGCCAACAAGTTTTATACCCCAGGAAGAAGACGCATTCACCAAATAGATATGCGTCATACCTGGGAGATCATGCCAACAGACGATGACGATCATTTTTGGCAATCATTACCGATGAATCTGTATTATCAAGTTGAAGTTGTTGAATAATTTCTCGCAAAAGAGAGTTATTCGCAGAGATATAACTCTCGTTGCTTCCTGGTGCTGCGACTTCGTTTAAAACAGCATTATTCAGAATGGTACGTTTCAAACGAGAAGTCATCCACGAAAAGTCTCATGTATTATCGAAACCTAAGAAAAACTGAGACATTGTCCGCAAAAA